GGCTCTGGCCCTCCCTAGCTGTGTGACCTTAGCAAAGTCCCTTTTGCTCTCTGCATCTCAGTTTCTCTATCTGTAAAATGAGGGGGTTGGATCAAATGACTATCCATCTCTAAGTCTATGATGCTATGATTGGGGGTCAGAGGGCTCAGGTTGTATTCATGGCTCTGCTCCTTACTCCTTGGGTGATTTGGGGCAAGTCCCTTTACATTCATTCAGTAGGCCAGGCACTGGGTGCTAGGGACACAAGGACAAAGGGGAAACAATCCCTGCCCTCAAGGAGCTTCCATTTGATGAGGGAACGGGACATAAATACAGGTCCCTCTGCTAAACTAATGGCCATTTGATGGGAGCTCCCTCTCCTCCCCTTTTCTTCACCTCAAAGCCCCCACTCCCATTCTCTCTTCCATCTTTCCAATCTCCAATAAATCAATGACTCCTCCTTACTAAGGCCAACCCTTCCTCTACAGGTTACCCCTTCCCCTTCTATCTTCTCCAGAAGATCACACAATCTAACCATCCTTCATCTCTCTTCCATTTCTCAGCCAAGGTCCTCGAAATGAATTCTATGCCCTCCCTTCATTTCTTCTTGCAATCTGGCTCCCTATTGCCTCTAGGATCAAATCTAAACTCCCACTTAGCTTTTGAAGCCCTTTGTAACCTGGCCCCAGTCTATCTTCCAAACTCTTGAATACTCTTCCCCTTCCCACACTCTGTGATCTAGCCAAACTGGTCTTTTCTTCATTCTAAACCTATGTCACTTAGTCTCCCATCACTATGCCTTTGCATTGGCTGCTCCCTGTGCCTGGAATTCGCTCACTCCTTACCTCTCTGCATCATAGAATCTCTCTCTTCTTGTAAGCACTGCCCTCTATGTGAAGTCTTTCTGGATCCTCCCTCTCTCCCTCTCGCCTTCTATTAATTTGTATCTATTCCATTTATACCTATACGAGTACTTGATGTCTTCCCCATAGAATATAACCTCCTTGAGGGCAAGAACTGTTTCATTCATTGCATTTGTATTGCTGGGGCCTAAGTAGGCACTTGGCAAAGACCTATAGATTGACTTGATAAATAAATACAAAGGAATTTAAAGAGGAAGCTTGTACTAATACCAAAAGGCTATCAGAAAAGGCCTCTTGGAAAAAAACAGTACCTGAGCTACTGATTGCAAAGATGCTAGGGAATTCTGGGAGAAAGAGTGATGGAGGCAGTCCATTCCATGGGGACTACCTGTAGAAAGGTGCAGAGGTAGAAGATGAAAAGTCAGATGAATTCAGAACTGCTTAGAAGGCCAACATCAAAGGTGGTTGTGACTGGTCCCATGTCAATATGGCGGAAGGTCTTCCATGGAATGTCCCAAGGACATGCATGTGGCCCTGTTTCTCATTTCCATCAGTGACTGGGGTGAAGGCATGGATGGTCTGCTCATCCAGTTTGCAGACAACCCAAATGTGGGAGCTACCCCACTGGACCAGAGTCAGAATTCCAAAGATCTTGCCAGGCCTGAGCTCTGGGCTAAATCTAATAAGATATAATTCAATAGGGATAAACAGAAAGTCTTTTCTTTTGTGTATGACTTTACAAGTATAATTTGGGAGGGCAGCAGCTGTTCTGAAAAGAATCTGGGGGGTTTCAGTGGACTGCACGCTCGATGCATAATGAAGCATAAAATGGCAGCCAAAGAGCTAGCCCTTTCTCAGGGCAGCGATTCTTGGTGGAGGGAGCTGACAGTCCCCCTATCCTCTGCCTTTGTCAGACCACACTCTGGGTGCCATGGCTTAAGAAGGCTGTCAAAGAGGTGGAGAGTGTTCAGAGAGCGACCAGCGTGGCAAAGAGTCTGGAGTCCGTGTAATCTTTGATCAGCTGGAGGAGCTGGGAGGGTTTAGTGCAGAGAAGAGGAGGTTCAGGAAGGATGGGTGTGTGAAGGGCAGTCATGTGAAGGAGGGAGCGGAGGCGTTGTTTGTCCTGAGAGGAGCAGTGAGAAGAAGCGGCAGGGGGCTCGTGGAGGCTTGCCGTCAGAAGGAATTTCCTCCCTATTTGAGTTGTCCCAAAGTGGTGTGGGCTGCCTGGGAAGGTGGTTGGACCCCCCTCCTTGGAGTCCTCAGGAAGAGTCTAGACAACCACTTGGTGGGCACGCTCTAGGATGGGTTGGTTCAGATGATCACTGAGGTGAGGTCCCTTCCAACTCTTCAATCCTGCGATTTGGTGAACCTGGGATTCGTTTGATCAACAGGAAGCAGCTTGTTTGGCTCAGATACACCTTGAAGGCAGCTCCTAGCTCTTGATCCTCTGATCTGAAGATTCTGAACACTGTCCCTCTGTCTGCGCTGAATCCACCCCACCCTCTGCAGTCCGCTTCCCTTCAGTCTTCAAAGCTCCTGTTTGCCTGGCGGGCCCTCAACCAGGGGTGGAGCAGGGCTGAAGCAGATGAGGGAGAGTAGCTATCCCCTCTCCCCCCCCCCATCAGTTTTCCTGGCCACAACCTGGGCCTTAGAGATTACTCAATGTGTGTGTGTGTGGGAAGTCCAGCGTACCCTCGGGGCAGGAGACAGGAGCCAGCTCACTGCTCCAGGCACTGTCTCCCACTCGTCCACAGCTTTCTTTTTGCTGAGGGCTTTGGGGTAATGGCACTTTATGCATTTATTCTGTTCATTTAGAAAAACAAGTCATTCCCTGGTCCCAAGGTGCACTTCCATAATAGAAATATCCTGTCTGCTCTAACAAGGGGCTGACCTGACAAGCAATAGCAGTAGGGAGACAAGCTGGTTGCACTCCCCAAGGTCTCCGGGCCAGGAGGGAGCAGGACGCTGAGCTGGTCGGACCCTCTGCATGCAGAGATGACCCCAGACTGCCCACTACCTGGGTGGTTGGGGCAGGGGCCAGCCCGACCGAGAAAAAATATATATGTATGTGTGTATGTGTGTGTGTGTGTGTGTGTGTATATATGCATGCTTCTGTGTATGCATGCATGTATGCATGCATATGTACGTGTATGTATATACATGTGTGTGCATGTGTACATATGTACATGTGCGCATGTACGTGTGTGTATGTGTGTGCATGTATACATATACATATATAAAGAGAGAGAGAGAGAATATGGCAGAGACAGATTTGAACCTAGATCCTCTGACTCAGTCCCTCCATTGTTTATCATACCCTGGTGCCTCCCAGAGTAAAGCATTGTACCAAGGTGCTAAGGATGATAAGACCAAGGGGAGGGAAGAGGAGGATGGGTTCATTTTCCACAGACTCAGCAGCAAACACTTAGTAGGCACCTAATAGGTGGGAAGCTGTATTTCCATTGCTGGAGATCCCAAAGTAGCCGTGACATCGTCCATCTCTCCAGGAGTTTCCAAACTTGGGGGTGGGGAAGGATATGAAAGGTACATAAATAAGTCTATCATGGGGTATATTGTGATTAGGGGTGGGGGATGCAAAGGACAGACCCAGACAAAAGTCTCTGGGAAAATCTAAAGAGGGAGAAATCCTGGGGGGGGGGGGGTGGCTGTGAGAAGCCTATTGGATTATTGGACCTTTATTGGCATTTATTCATTCATTCATTCATTCAGTTATTTATTTAGAGGCAATTGGGGTTGAGTGACTTGCTCAGAGTTGCACAGCTAGTGAGTGTTGTGTTATGTGTCTGAGGCCAGATTTGAACTCAGGTCCTCCTGACTCTAGGGACGGTACTCTATCCACTGCACTCAGTTAGCTGCCTCAAAATTTAATCCTGTAAATTTGTTTTTTGATCTGAACTTATGATTTCATCAGTGTGGGAAACTCCCCAGGTAGACAATCACTTCACTGATACAAATCATCAATATGACTATAATCTTTTTTTTTTTTTTGTGAGGCAATCAGAGTTAAGTGACTTGTTTAGGGTCACACAGCTAGTGAGTAGTGTGTCTGAGGCCACATTTGAACTCAGGTCCTCTTGACTCCAAGGCCAGAGCTCTATCCACTGTGCCACCTAGCTGCCCTGGACCTTTATTGGACCATAGATTTTGGGACCCTAAGAGATCATCCAGACCAATCCCCTCATTTTCATAGATGAAGAAACTGAGGCCCAGACAGACTAAAGGGCCTTGCCCAAGGTCGCACAGAGAGTATGTGAAAAAGAATCCAAGTCTTCTGAATCTAGCCCCAGCACTCCCTCCCCTAGACCACCGTGAGTCAGGCAGTCTGGGTTCAAATTCTAGCTCTGCCATTGACTGGCTATGAGAATTGGGGCCTATCACTTCACCGCTCCTGGCCTCAGTTTCCTCATCTACAAAATGGGGAGGAGGTTGGCCTAGATGTACTTCAGGTTCTCTTCAGCTCTACATGTCTTGTTCTGTGAGCTCTAAGCTTGGAGGATGGGCAGAGGGTTAGCAGGGCCTCTCGTAGGACATGGAAAGGGCAAACTGAGATGAGGGTGGCCTTGCCTGGGATGAAGAGTAAATGAAGGGGAGCAAAGGGAAATGAAGCTAGAAAGGAAGACTGGGGCCCACTTGTGGGGAAGGGCCTTCCTTGGTGAGGAGCTGGGGATTTTGGCCCAGAGGCTGAAGGACCCGTTGGAGGATTTGGGGAAAGGGAGGGCCTGCGGCTGACCCGTCTCTTAGGAAGATGATTTTGGGAACCATGGGGGAGTCTGGTTGGGAGATGGGTGAGCCTGGAGGTGGGGAGGCCATGTGGGTCCAGCAGGGAAGTGCCTAGAGAGAGCCTGAGCTATGGGAACCGAGAAGAAGGGTCAGAATGTAAGCAGCACTGGGAAAGGACAATGCGGAGGACTTGAGAGTGGCTTGGCTGGGGCTCAGTGTTGATTTCTTCTTTGATTTCTCGTCCAGCTTTCGTGTGACTGGCCATTTGTGAATAGTCCCTGGCCAGCCTAGAGGCCCCTCAGCGTTAGGATGCTCAGGACCCTGCCCAGTGTGAGCTAGGCCAGACCAGGCCAGTGATAGGAGGCCAGCTCCCGACTTTGTGCCCCTCCTGCCCATTTCTGCTTCTTCTTCCCCCAGGTACCTGCCAGCTTGGTTGGGCATACTACTGCGCTGGGGGCGGAGCTGCAGTGGCCATGCTGATCTGCACCTGGCTCTCCTGCTTTGCTGGAAGGCTTCCCAAGCCCATCGTGAATTCGTACACCATGGAGCTGGAGCATTGCCTCCACCCCTGAGCCAGCCTGCCGTTCTAGTCTCTTGGGGTGCTGGGGGTGGGGAAGGGCATGGGTGGGAAGGAAGTCCAAGGCTTTCTCCTTCCCAGCTCCCCCCAACCCCCAAGCCTTAGTCTTAGCTTACCTCTTTCTCTTTCCTTTTCACTTGCCCAAAGCCAGGGGGACTAGGAGCGATTGACCAGATTAATAGGATATTAGCTTTACAACTGTCACACTTTTCTTCTTCCCCCCCCTTCCCCCTGGGGTCTCCAGGCCCTCAAGGGTTCCTTTCCCCCAAATCCCTCAAGATTCCTCCACCAAAACCCATCAGTCCTTCCCTGAGCACTTATGAACCATTATTCCTCTGTGGTTGGCACAAACATCCTTTCCTACTGGATCACAGACCTAGAGCTGTAAGAGATCCTTGAACTCATTAAGTCCAGCCTCCTGCTTGGATACATAGGGAAACTGAGGCCCAGAGATCAGGAAGCCCCAGAGCTGGGATCTGGGCCCTCAGAGCTCCTCCCCATGCTGCCCAGCCACATCCTGCCACGGGGCAGCTTCCCCTTCACCTTCCAAATGAGGGTCCCCTCCATGCTTCTTGCCTCCATCTTCCAATTGTTAATGATGGCTCTGTCCACCCAGGAATCCTTCTGGATAGACACCACACAGAGAAGGGTAGGCACATTCTAGCTGATTACGGGGGTTCCTACATCAGGCAGTGGAATCAGGGCCAGCAGGGGCTGAGAAGGGAGATGAAGTGCAGGGGTGGGGGGCACTACCCTGGCAGTCAGGAGGCCTCCCACTCACTCGCTGTGGGCCCCTCCCCATGCCTCAGTTTCCTCGTGGTGATTTCAGAGGGTCCTGATTCCAGTCCTGACATTTTACAATTCTTCTGAATCCCTTGGAGATCCCCCCCCAAAAAGGCCATGGAGCCTCCATCTGAATTGGAAATGGGTCTGGGGAGCTTGCTCTAAGAGGATTTCTTTCTGAGCTCTTGAAGAGATTTCATACCTTAGCAGCTTTCTTCCCAGGTGGATAGAGATGCATTTTTCGGCTCTGATTTCCCTTTCATATGCTTACAAGAGAAGTCTGCCAGCATTGACTCCCCTCATGACCCCAGCCCTGGCCACTATCCTGCTTCCTCCCAGGGCCACACAAACAGTCTGAAAGGGATTGAGGAGCCGCCTAGGCAGCACTGACTGTAGCGGGCAAAAAGGCCTGGCTTTCAGTCCCAGCCCTGATGCATACTAGCCATGGGACAGTGGGCATTTAAAGTCTCCATCTCCTGTGCCTCAGTTTCCTCATCAGCACAATGTGATAGCAATACTTCTGCTCCCTTTCTCCTTCCCAGGGTTGTTGGAAGGAAAGCATTCTACGCACCATAAGGAGCTTGAGAAACGGGTCTGTTACTCAGAAGATAGCTTGCTACTGAGCAGTCCAGGGCCAAAGCATGACCAGGAGGGAGGGGGAGGCTGACTACTGACTGTGACAGATTCAAGGGAAAGAGGCTCAGGAAACCTCTCAGGCACCATTCTGGGACCACCAGAGCCCCCCTGGGTAGCCTTCTGTCCTCATCTGGGCAAAAGCTGCAGGGCAAAAAGGACTCACTCATTCCACGGGCATCTCTTTACAGAATCAATCGTTTACAGAGATTGGATTTGGGGCCACTTATGAAAATGTCAATGCCTACCACTCATGGCCATCTTGTTGAACCCCGTGGTTCCTTGGGGCAACAAGAGGCAGGGTCCCTTTGCTGAACCCATGCTGCCATGGGGCTGCGCCTGCTGAGAGGGACATTGCCCGGGAGTTCTCTCTTCCCCCCTCTAGCACATGGTAGGGTCTCCAGGGCACCCACGAGTTTCACAGCATCATGGTGTGGTCTTAAATAAGCCAGTCTGGGCTCCCTCCAGGATGGGAGGGGGAGGGGGAATGATATCAAGGCTAAAAATAAACCAGCAGGCACTTGGTGCCCTGGTTCCTGGGCTTCTGAGGAGTGAGATGCTGAAGTTACACTTTGAAAATTGTCATGAGAATGGAGCCTGTTGGGGGTCATTACTGTCAGGACACAGGAGGTGTTTCAGATACTTTCAAAAACATGAGTTCCTTCCCTTGTAGCTCTCTTACCAGGGGTCTGTTACCCCGGGCTTCCCCTCTTCCTCTCCTCCTTCCTATTTCCCTTCCCTCCCCAGATTCCCTCCTCCCCCCTGCACTGTGCTACTGCTGCTGCTCACTTCACTGTTTAACAGAGAGAGCAAGGGGCCTAAAGTGGTATAGGAACACCAGCTCCACCTTGGAGCCAATAAGTTGCCCAGGGTTGTTACTGAGGCATCTTCCCATCTGGAGTAGGAGAGACAATGGAACAGTAGAGCAAAAATGAATGATAAGACCTTTGCTGGGATATTTGAAAAAGGTTGAAAAAGAGGGCTCAGAGAAGGCAGAGGTCCTGTCCCTTAGCAATAAGGGTAGAAGGCCTGAACACTGTAACCTCTGTGCTTCCCTCTTCTCATGGCCCCAGGGCTCAGAGCCCTCAACATGGGCCTGAAATGGAAAGACTACAGTCCCTGCCCACAGGGGGAGCTCTCAGCCTCACTGAAGAGACAACATTGGGCCTGTGGTTGGTAGAGAACAGCAAAAGAGACTGAGCAGGGAGTGGCTTGGCAGAGAAACCAGCAGTGAAGAGAATAAAGCAGCAGAAGACCCCAGTGGTTCATAACACCTTATAGTTCAATGATGTCGCTAGGCCAGCAGCAGACATCAGCATTCCCTGCGTGTGTCATCTCCCAGTGATGATGTGGGAAGCTGCGGGAGAATGAATGCCTCTGTGTACACTTGGTGGTTATGTTCTCGTGGGAATTCTTTTCACTTACAGGTTGGATTAGATGGTCACTGAGGTCCCTTCCAACTATCAGATTCTTTGTGTGTGCATAGTGTGTGCCAATTGGGGAGGAGTTCTTTGTCATTTATTTGCTATGCTCTTTTAATTAAACATCTTTTGCTTTGAACTAGAGTGTCTTCTGTTTGGTTTGGGAAAAGAAACTTTGGTGGGGGCTCATGAGCTGGGGCTTTGAGTAGCTGCTGCCTCAAAGTGTGACTTGAACCTGGAGTGCATTGACAGAGAATTAGGATATAGACAGATGAGGAAATTTTGCCCCCACCCCAAAGAGGTTAAGTAACTATCAAACATATAGTAAGTGGAAGAGCAAAGATTTAAAAGCAATACCTCTGACTCCAAATCCAGTCCTCTTTCCTCTGATTCCATGATAGGGATGAAACATTTGGTTTTCTTGCCCTTCACAGCTTAAACCCTACCCCCAGATCTGGCACTGGACAGGTCATTCATTGGTTCTAGAACCTCCCACGCCAGGTCTGTGATAGCAAGTGGAATGTGGGACCTACAGGTGCCTCAGTGAATGCTAAGCCAGGGACTGGTGAAGGGTAAATGCCTTGCTGGGATGCTAAGCCAAGAGGAAGCCCAGCTAGCCATCACAATGAGGTATTTTATGGTAGCTATGAGCTGTTTTCTGCCACTCATTTAGTGAGGTTTAATCCCTCCATGATCAACTGTTCCCACCCTCTCCTCTTCTTCACTCTTGGAAAAAATCTCCCAACCAGCCCTCGAAAGGCCCACCTGTGTCTTCCCTGTCCTTTGCTGCACCTTCCTGGGGACACTCATGTAGTAATAATAAAAATAATAATAACGACAATAAGAGTAACAACAATTGCAGTAATAGTGGTTAACATTTATATAGCATTTACTATGTGCCAGGCACTGTGCTAAGAGCGTTATCATTATTACCTCATTATTTCATCTTCACAACAACTCTGGGTCACACAGCTAGGAAGTGTCCGAAGATGCACTGGAGCTCAGGTCTTCCTAATGCTAAGCCTAGTGCTCCAACCACTGCACCACCTAGCCAGGGCCACTCAAAGGCAAGGCTACACACAGTGGGCACTCAATAAATGTTAACAGGACCAGTGAAAGAAAGGATTCTCCTCGTGACTTAGGCCCTTCCCCCACACTGCTGCAATGGCCACAATGGTGCTCTGAGCTTCTCTTTGTACCCTTACCCCCAAGCCTCATGACTCTTTTCCAGTCGCTGGCTGGCCTGGCATCTGCCGTGGCCCATCTCCCTGCCTCCCCACCCAGTGAGGACCTCAACCCAGAAGAATGCCAGGTTCAGCTTGACCTTTGATAGACTGAAATCCATATCTGCAAAAAGATGAATTGAATCAAGTCCAAGGGACCAGCTGCTCCCTGACTCAGTTCCCCTCAGGGAATGGGCTCTCTGTGGCTAGAAGATATTGCGGGGAAGGCTGCCTACCATGTCACTCATTTCCCCAGGGCATTGAGGCCAAGGCGCACCCATCTGATTAAACATTTAACAAAATCAAACAATTACACACTCCACATAAATAGTACCAGCCCTGAACTCCTGGGGGACCAGATACTCCCTGGGACCTAAAGGAGTTGTGCTGAGTGTGAGCCCCCAAACCTCTGGCAGAATCACTGGCAGCATCCTCTTTCTCCTGCTTTGATGACCAGACAGATTTATCTACATGTTAAATGTTTCTGTGGGGCCTAGGGACTGGTCTTCAGCCAATAGCAAGAAGCAGTGAAGAGGGGGTGTAAGCTGGGCAGATCCACTGGGCAAAGGGTTAGTTATTTGAACTCCTCCCATTCTTAACAGAGGCTCCTGTATTTGCACATGATTCGGTTTTGTCCGATGGGGTTGCTGGGAAAGAGGGATGCTCTCAGCATTGACGAAAGGAATTATGGGGAGCAGACCATTTCTGATGATGAGCACTCAGGCTCCCAGCAGAGCTGGAAGGTCAGAAAGAAGACTCTTCAAGGGGGAAGTTGCAACTTCCTACGTGAGCAGGAACAGAAACACTCCAGCTGGGCCCTGGCCTGGGACGATGGTGCCTTAAGGATAAAACAGCACAAGTGCCAGCCCAGAACCCCACAGTCGATCTGCCCTCTGCCTTCCTGAAGCATTTCACTGGGCACTCAGAGCCCTGCAGTGCCCCATGGGTGGGCTCAGCAACCATGGCATGGCTGGAGGTGCCTCAGGCTGGATGAAGAAGGACCAAGGTCAGGAGATCAAGGGAAGGTGGATCCTCCTCACTCTGTGTGTGTGTGTATGTGTGAGAGAGAGAGAGAGAGAGAGACAGAGACAGAGAGACAGAGACAGAGACAGAGAGACAAAGACAGAGATAGAGAGCGAAAGACAGAGACACAGAGAGAGAGCTAGAGAGACACAGAGAGAGACAGACACAGAGACAGAGACAGAGAGAAAGACAGAGACAGAGACACAGAGATAGAGACAGAGAGAAAGACAGAGACAGAGACATAGAGAGATAGAGACAGGAGAAAGACAGAGACAGAGACAGAGAGACAAAGACAGAGATAGACAGCAAAAGACAGAGACACACAGAGAGAGAGCTAGAGAGACACAGAGAGAGACAGAGACAGAGACAGAGACAGAGAGAAAGAGAGACAGAGACACAGAGAGATAGAGACAGAGAGAAAGACAGAGACAGAGATGCAGAGAGAGACAGAGAGATAGAGAGACAGAGACAGAACCAGAGAGACAAGACAGAGATAGACAGCAAAAGACAGAGACACAGAGAGAGCTAGAGAGACACAGAGAGAGACAGATACAGAGACAGAGACAGAGAGAAAGAGAGACAGAGACACAGAGAGATAGAGACAGAGAGAAAGACAGAGACAGAGATGCAGAGAGAGACAGAGAGATAGAGAGACAGAGACAGAACCAGAGAGACAAAGACAGAGATAGACAGCAAAAGACAGAGACACAGAGAGAGCTAGAGAGACACAGAGAGAGACAGATACAGAGACAGAGACAGAGAGAAAGAGAGACAGAGACACAGAGAGATAGAGACAGAGAAAAAGACAGAGACAGAGATGCAGAGAGAGACAGAGAGATAGAGAGACAGAGACAGAACCAGAGAGACAAAGACAGAGATAGACAGCGAAAGACAGAGACAGAGAGAGAGAGAGCTAGAGAGACACAGAGAGAGACAGATACAGAGACAGAGAGAAAGAGAGACAGAGACAGAGAGATAGACAGAGAAAAACAGAGAGAGAGCAGAGAGAGACAGAGAATAGAGAGACAGAGACAGAGCCAGAGAGACAAAGACAGAGATAGACAGCAAAAGACAGAGACACAGAGAAAGCTAGAGAGACACAGAGACAGATACAGAGACAGAGACACAGAGAGACAGAGACAGAGAGAAAGACAGAGACAGAGACACAGAGAGATAGAGACAGAGAGAAAGACAGAGACAGAGACGCAGAGAGACAAAGAGATAGACAGCGAAAGACAGAGACACAGAGAGAGAGAGCTAGAGAGACACAGAGAGAGACAGATACAGAGACAGAGACAGAGAGAAAGACAGAGACAGAGACACAGAGAGACAGAGACAGAGAGAAAGACAGAGACAGAGACATAGAGAGATAGAGACAGAGAGAAAGACAGAGACAGAGATATAGAGAGACAGAGCCAGAGAGACAAAGACAGAGATAGACAGCGAAAGACAGAGACACAGAGAGAGAGAGCTAGAGAGACACAGAGAGAGACAGATACAGAGACAGAGACACAGAGACACAGAGACAGAGAGAAAGACAGAGACAGAGATGCAGAGAGAGACAGAGAGATAGAGAGACAGAGAAAGACAGAGACAGACACACACACACACACAGAGAGAGAGAGAGAGAGAGAGAGAGAGAGAGAGAGAGAGAGAGAGAGGGGGGCAGAGGGCACTAGAAGCAGGGCCATCAACTGAGAAGCTGCTGCAGTAATGCAGCTTTGATGCCTGGCTTCCCCCATCCTCTGTTCCAAAAGTCTCACTGTCCCCGTTGTGCCATGATTCCTGTTTGCTAGGATTCAGAATGTCCTTTACAGTGAGGATGTCTTTAAAATGGCTTTGGGGGAAATAATGTAGTGGGATTTCATGAAGAGGCATCCTGGGAAGACAGGCAGGAGTGAAAAGAGCTTGACTGAAAAGGCTTGAAAGGCCGAAAAGGCCTGGGCTCCGTGCCCGGGTAAGGGGAGGGAGTGCCCTTTGCAGGTCCACCATGTTATTCTGTTTTGTCCTTTTCCTTGTCCCCCACAAGTGGCTCTTGTAAACACCTGATGACAAAGTGACCTGTCTGTCCTGCTGCCCCCAGGGAGCGGGGAGACAGCATATGAGAGACAAGCCCCACTACAGATCACATGGGGAGGACAGGGAGAGAGGCACAGCTACCAGATTTCCCTAGAAAATGGCAATAATAATAATAATAACGATGATTGATATCTACATGCAAAGTATCCCCAAAGTCTTCAGAGAGTTTTTAGTGCTTAAAACCACACCCAGATTCTGGGGACATCCTGTGTATACCCCATCCCCATTTTAAAGATCAGGAAACTAAGGCTGGGACAGATGGGTGCTTTGCCCAGGCTCACACACAGCTAGCAAGTGTCTGAGGCCAGAGTTGGACCTGTCTTCCTTATGCCAAGTCCAACACCCTACCCATCCCACCATGCTACTTCTCAAAGACGAGAGGGTAAATGCGATCCCTATTGAGCAAGGAAAAACAGAAAAATTAAAGAGGGAAAGGAGTGGGCCAAAGGTCAGACCAAATATGCCAGGACAACTGTTCAGAGGAGCCCATGGGGATCGGGAGAAGCAAAAAGCATTGTTTTTGGAGTCAAGGAATCTGGGATCAAATCTCAGCTCTGCATCTTACTAGTAGTGGGACTTGGAACAAGTGTTTTCCCCTCTTGGGGACTCAGTTTCTCTGTCTATAAAGCATGGGAATAACTGGTTCATTGAGGTCCCCTCCAGTTTTGCAGCATGTATTCCATGAGCTAGGAAGGAGTTCAAAGGTCAAACTGAGGACTCAATTGCCCAAAGAGTTATCACATCCAGCTCTGGTCCTGTTGGGCTGGAGAGGACTTGAATTGGGCAGCAAGGCCCAGGGGAAGAGCTTGGTCTA